TGCTGTTCCCTCCCCTGTGCTGTTCCCTCCCCTGTGCTGTTCCCTCCCCTGTGCTGTTCCCTCCTCCTGTCTGTTCCCTCCCCTGTCTGTTCCCTCCTCCCGTCTGTTCCCTCCCCTGTCTGTTCCCTCCCCTGTCTGTTCCCTCCTCCCGTCTGTTCCCTCCTCCCGTCTGTTCCCTCCTCCCGTCTGTTCCCTCCTCCTGTCTGTTCCCTCCTCCTGTCTGCCTGTTCCCTCCGTGCTGTTCCCTCCTCCTCTCTGTTCCCTCCCAATGCTGTTCCTTGGTCCCCCTCACCTCCACACCCTCCCTTCCTCACCCTCCAGGCCTCAGCTGACATCCTGCTCCACTCCCCATCTCAGCCCGTCCCTGTGTCACTGTCACTGCCCCCGCCAGGCGTCTGCCTCCTGTTTCTGGCTGGCTCCACATGGCAGGCTCCACATGCAGTTCTAGTCACCGTGTTTCCCACACCGGGTAACAGCTGGTGGGCAAGGCCTGCCTGCTGGATGAGGGACGGAAGGAGGGAGTGGGTGACCGAGTGACCGAGTGACTGAAGTGACAGCGGCAGTGCGGTGGGCCGGGGTAAGGGGGAGGGACTGAGGGAGTGACCGCAGTGACACAGTGGGAGTCTCGCTGCCTGCCATATAAGGGAGGGAGGAAGGGAAGGAGGGAGGGAGGGGGGAGTGAGGGAGTGAGTGAATGAATGAATAAATGAGTGAGTGACTGAGTGGATGACGTGACAGCAGCGATGCAGCAGGGGTCTCACGGCCTGCCTGGTGGATGAGGGACTGAATGAATGAATGAATGCATGAGTGGATGACGTGACAGCAGCGAGGCAGTGGGCAGGGGTCTCACAGACAGGGCTTGTCATCCTGCAGGCCTCAGGCCCCTCACCAGGGAAATGTGCACCTTTCATGGTAGGGGGAGACAGAGGTTCTGAGGACCAGCCTCTGGTAAGGCGAGGGAGATGTGGGGACTTGTTGGGATGGGCTGGAGGACAAACAGGCTGGGACCTCAGCAGCCTCAGCCTCAGCCTCAGCTCCTGCCCTCCCTTGAATCTCCTGCTGGCCCACAGTGGCCTGGGGGTGGCCAGGCAGCCCCGAGGGGCTTCTGCAGGGCCGGCCCTGGGCTAGGCCACCCAACCTTAGAATGCCCCCCGAGAGCTGCTTCAGAGCTGCCCAGCGAGGTCTGGTAACAGCCTCAGATGAGGTTGTCACAGCGGATGCAGCGGGGATAGGGTTTCCGATGGCTGTCGGTGCCATCACAGCATCAAGACACTGACCTCTTTGTTGGGGGAGACAAGAAGCATTCTCAGGGCCGTCCAGGGAATTTAAAGTGGCCGCCGTTGTCCTGGGGCAGGTGGGGCCGGCTGGGGCCTGGAGGCGGGACAGGGCGACCCCGAGGGGTGGCAAGCAGGGCGGGCTCTAGGGCCCTCTGTGGACCCTGGACACACCCGATGAGGCTGGGCACTGAGCCTGGGGCACCCTAGGAAGGGAGACAGCCACAGGCCCCTGTCTCTGACAGTCTTGGCAGAAGGGCCAGGCTGGGGAGTTAAAAACAGGCCCCTCCCCGCCTCCCCCCAACCCCCCGCCCACAGGCAGAGCAGGGTCAGGAAGGGCCTGAAGAACCAGAGAAAGAGCTACTGTTCTAGGCCTGGTCAGAGGTGGGGAAAAAAGAAGAGACAGAGAAAAATAAATGGGCAGACCCGTGCCCAGCCAGACCTCCACAAGGGAAGCCGAGGCTGAAACTGGCTTCCTGCCCCAGCGTCTTCTGGCCCCGGCACCAGCGGTTCCCCAGGGTGGGCTGGTGGCCCAGGCCAACCTCAGGGGTCCAGCCACCTGGCACCAGGCAAGATGCTGGCTCAGGGCTGGTCGTGCCCACATGACCTCCAGGCTGGGGACACTGGCGAGGCTGCACTCCCCTCTCCCCTGGGGGATGTGGGGGTAGCCGCCACATCCCCAGGAGCCAGGGCACACTGGCAGGGAGGCCCGAGCTGGCTAGTCTTGCACCCCAAGGTCTCCCACCTGTTCCCTCCCAGGTGGGGGGCGAGTGCCAGATGGGAGCCTCGACCTCCTTCCCATGCCCCTCCCCACCTGCACACCCAGCAGGCACCCCGTCATGCCACAAACTCGGGGTGCACTCAGTGGGGCTTGGTGGGAACATGGTGCCATCCCTCCACTCAGGACTGCCACAGAAAAATCCGGGGGTTGTGCAGCGTCAGCAAAGTTGCGGTGCGTGTGTTTTTATCATGCTGCGAACACGCTGCTCCTGGGAGTGATAAGCATTAAACCGACCGGGAGGCTGTCAGTCTCAGTTTGAGGGTTTAGAAATATTGGGACGAATAATTAGATTTCATATCGTTACTGCAGCACCCATCGGAGGATCAAGCAGATTAATTTTTTTCACCCTCCTCTGCTCATTAATATTCATTAGAGGCTCAGGAAGGCCAGGGTGGGGAGGGCCAGGCCCCGGCAGCCTCACCGAGTGCTGCCCGTCCAGCTCGGGCACAGCCAGGACACAGTAGCCTTGGTCACCCACCTTTGTGCCAGGAACATGCCTGCCCATTGCCCCGGGGGTTTGTTCCCCCACCTGCCCCAGCAGAAGCCCCTGTCCAAGCCGGCAGGGACCCACAGCTGTCATTGGCTCCTCAGCCCTGCCCTGCAGCACTGGAAATCACTGGGGTGTCCTTTAAAAGGGGATCACCCACCAATGCCAGCCTGCACAAAGCAGCTTCTTCAGGGAAGCCGCTTACCCCCAGTGGACACTCAGCATGTGCTGCCCCAGAGATGCCCCATGGACAGCACCCCCTGCCCACCTTGTCCTGCCAGGCCAACCCAAAAGCAGCAGCCAGGGCAAGCGCTAACACACATCCTGAGCTGAGGACGCACCAGGCAGGTGGTGCTCAAAGGCTTCACACAGATCGCGGCCCCCAACGTCCTGGGAGGAAACTGAGTCAAGAGAGATGGGAGTGACCCCGAGGCTGCCCCAAAAGCTAGTGGTGGGCAGGGGGTGAGTCCAGAGTGAGCAGGGGTGAGGCCTCCCCTCCGTCCTCCCAACAACCACGTGTGGAGAGGGCAGAGCCCCGTCTGCAGATGAGAAGTGGAGCCAGGGTTTGGGGCGCCTGCTGGGGATGGCTTTGCACTGGGACTGCAGGGTCGAGCCCACCCCGGGCCAGGGCCAGCCCAGTGACCAGCTTAGCTCTGCTCACCCATTCTGTGATCGAGCCATGTGGCAGCAGACAGGTGGTGTGGAAGCCACCTGCTCTGCTGGCCAGCCTGCCGTAACCTTGCCCTGGTCACTCAGCATCCCCAACCCAAAGGCCGTATCTTGCTAGATTCCTGCATGCTTGTGGATGGACTGAGGGGCAGGCATGGCTCGGAGGGGTCCCTGCATACGGGTCTGGCCATGCCCTGCCCAAGGTCGCAGCAGGGAGGCGGAGCCTGGCTGGAACCCCGCTACCCAGCTCTGTGGCACACAGGGTCCCACGCGCAGTCAGGAAAGCTCATGGGATGGCATCTGGTGGGGAGGCCCCCAGACCCAAGGGGAACACCCTGCACCGTCGCCAGCCTGGCCCCTTCTACCATGCGGAGTTGGGCCGACAGCCGTCCTCACCACAGGGTGGCACAAACCTGTCCCGTGGCAGCGGCAGCATTCATGGGTGACACTGGCTTTTCCGTCAAAGGTCATGATGCAGGAAGTTTCTGATTAAAACGCATTTGTTTGTACAGAACAGAAAGTGAGCATGTTTACAGGAAGCACTGGATGCGCGTGTGCAGCAACTCTGAATGGGCACCCAGGTGGCTGAGCTTGGGGACCCACTGGTGCAGGGAGTAGCACGGGACTGAGGGCCAGGGCGCTGAGGCTGAGTCAGCCTTGCAGGAGGAGCCCAGACCTGAGGGGGCAGCGGCGGTCACCCCTTCCTCCACCACTGCCTTCTACCCTTGATTGTGACCAGCGCTGGGTAGCAGAGAGCAAGGCCACCAACTGCCCACCCCCACCCCCGCCCTGTCCCAGCCCCAGACTGCACTGAATGGGGTCCCTCACATTTCCTCCACCATTCGGCCAGCGTGCAAGGCACACAGGAAATGAGGCAGCTGTCTGGAGGGCTGAGCCCAGAGTGTGTTCCTTCCAGACTCAGCCCAAGCCACCGCTGACAGCATGGCCCAAGGCACGGGCATGAGTTCTGTCCCTCCCCAACCAGGCCTCAGTTTCCTCACCCATGAGATGAGAGGACGACGCTGCCTGCTTTCCAGGGTGATGGTGAGGCCGAGTGGGCCAGGGCTGACCCCACCCAGTGTTGGTGTCTCAGGCCCCCCAGGCAGGGGCCAACCAGCCTCAGGGTGGGGACAAAGCCGCTAAGCATGGCCGGTGCTCCCCCACCTCCACCATGTGCTGGCCCTGGGAGCTGGCAGGAACACAGGTGGCCCTGCTGCACCCTGTGGCACGGAGGAGAGCCATGCTGTTGGGGGGACACTGAGGCCCAGGGGTTGCTAGGGAGGTGCCGTCTCGCCTGGGCTAATCTCAGCCCCGCCCACAGAGGTCATTCTGGAGGCATCCAGGGCCTGTGTGGGAGGAGCCTGTGCCAGGTCCAGCCGTGTGGGGCCAGGGTTTCACACCCAGCACGCCCCAGGCCAGGGGGGCGGGCAGTGAGGAGAACACAGACACAGAGATACGGGTGTGCATTCAGGTGCTGCTGCTCCCCAGCTTTGTGGCCCGGGGCATGCTGCTGGATCTCTCTGGGCCTCAGTCTCCGTAAGAACGCTGCGCCCAGCCCTGGAAGGTACCTCTCCCCGCTGTGCCCCCCAGCCCCAGCATGGTGTTAGCCCCGCCAGCCAGCAATGGCACAGGTGGCCCATGCCACGGCTCTGCCAGCTGTAGGGCCTGTGACCGTCCACAGCCTGGCCGAGCAGCCAAGCCAGGAGGCAGAATCCATGTCACGTACCCACAGGAAACCCCAGGCAGGCTGCGGACTGACCCCTCCCCCATGTGTTCCTGCCCCCCCCAGAGCCCAGCCCTGACCCTGCTGCTGGTGGATGAGTCTTGCTGGCTGAGGACGCTGCCCCAGGCCCTGACCGAGGCCGAGGCCAACGCAGAGATCCACAGGAAGGGTCAGTATGGTGCAGTGCCTCCGTCCCGAGCATTCCGGAAGGTGGGGGTCACTTGGCTCTCCCAGAGCTGAGCCCTGGAAGGGAAAGCAGCCTGCTAGAGCAGGGGCGAGGGTTGGGGACAAGGAGCCACTGCCCCGGGCATTGCAGTGAGACAGACACTCTTGAGACCAGTTAGTCCAGCCCGAGTTCCTGTGTGAGGATCCCGCGTGGCAGGCTAAACCAGGACAGGTGTCCACTGCGGCAGGGGTGGGGGCTTCTGCCCCTCTGGGGGATACCATGATCCCCCTATCTCTTCCCTGGCTTGGCTGTACCTCTGGGAGCCCAGCAAGGGCAGTGGCAGGGACCCCGAGGCCGGGCCGGCTGGCAGGTACCACTGGACCTGGGCCCCACGCCATCAGTGTGGTTCCAGGAACAGTCAGAATGGTGTTCAAACCCAACTGCCTCCTTTACTGGCTGCGGGACCCGGGGCAAGGCCCTGCCTTCTGGGACCTCTGTTTCTCTGTCTGGAAGATGGGTGTAAGCCTGAGGAAAGAGCTCGGTGGGGCACCCAGGGCTGGAGGCCTGAGAGCTGCCTCCCTGCAGCCTCCTGGACCTGTTGGAAGGTGGCAGTGGCCCGGGAGGAAGAGGGGCAGGAAATGGGCCTCTTGCAGCGCAGCTGTACAGCCAGGGCAGGCGGCACTTCCTGGCTCTCGGAAGACCCCGCCCACCCCTTGCTCTTCTGTATTAGCGCCCCCGTCCCCCTGGGAAGGTCAACCCTGAGGGAATGGAGGTGCCACATGTGACACTCTCAGCATCAGGGCCGTGGGGACCCCCTCCTTACAGACATGGAGGCCCAGGTCCTAGGAGAGGACAGGGGCACACACAGTGATTTCCACAGCCAGGCAGGCCATCCACCACCGCGCGGTCACCAAGACAGCTGTGCGCTCAGCGCTGGATGCAGTCTCATGCCCCTTTCTGTGTCTCTTGCCACTGCGCTTACCAAGCAACGGCAATCCTGGCGGACGCAGAGCTATCTCAGGGACATCCCTGTAAACGGCCCCACTGCAGCCCCTCCCTATGGGGCCTCCAGGGAGTGATCAGTGCAGAGTGGCCTCCCCCGTGCCCTGCCACCCGCTCCTGGGACCTGAGCCAGTGCCTCCCCGACGTGCCTCCATTTCCCCATCTGTAAGGCAGAGGGAACCCCAGTGCCTCCTCCCCACCAAAGGGGTCCCTGAGGACCCAGCGAGAGCTGCACTCCCAAAACGTGGGGGCCCGGTGTTGGCGCAGGGTGGGGACAGGCTGTGGTGCTTGTGGGCGGGGCTGGCTCAGGACTGAAGCCAGCACCGCAGGGGACACACAGCCCCGGAGCCCAAAATGGACAAGCCGCCCATGCCGTGCCGCCTGGGCATTGTGGGCCGAGGCTGCCCCCTGCAGGCGGATGCAGGAACAGCCACCCTTGGACGATTTCCCGAAGAGCAGGGTCCATTCTGGGGCCCCTCTAAGGCCCCAACCTTTGGCCACCTTTCCTGAATGGCCGCCCAGGGCCTTCCATAGTTGCTCTACCACCTGCTCTCCACGTCATCCCTTTCCTGGGAGACGTCCCCAGGGCTCTCCCACTAGGATGGGTGTAGGGCAGGGAGACCAGGAGGCTGAGCATCCGCGGGGACCACCCGCCTCACCCCTGAGGCAGAATGCAGCCAGCCAGCCACACCTGTGAACCTGGGGTGGCAGCTCTCCTGACCCCATCCTCCACCCCTCGCTTAAGACAGGACAGGGCAGTGGGGCACACAAGGTCCTAGGTCATGGACACTCATCTCCCTCCAGATGACGCGCTCTGGTGCAGGGTCACCAAGCCGGTGCCCGCCGGGGGACTCCTGAGCGTGCTCCTCACAGCTGAGCCCCGCAGCACCCCCGGCCACCCTGTGAAGAAGGAGTCAGCAGAGCCCGCATGCCCGGTCCCCGCACATGACCTCCAGCTCCTGCCGCAGCAGGCCGGGATGGCCTCCATCCTTGCTACTGCAGTGATCAACAGTGAGTGCTGGGCCCTCCAGGCCTGGGCAGCCGCTGTACCGAGGAGGGGCAGGCAGGGCAGGAGACGGGTGGGAGCCGAGGGTGGGAAGCCCAGGGGCGACAGAGTAAGAGAGAAGGCAGGGAAGGAGGTGATATGGGCAGTCCCAAGTGCAGAATACAAGGACGGGAGGGTCCCCAGGCCCCCAGGACCATGACAGGGAAAGGACCTGCCAGCAGGCAAGCAGGCTTAGGCACAGACCCGACTGCCTCACACACCACACTAGAAGCCTAAGCTTTCCCTGGGGGCAGCCCTAACTGTGGAGCAGAGCAGGACCCTCCCCTCAGCCCTCCTGGCGTTTGGGGCCGATCACTGCACGGTGGAGGCTTCCCTGGGCACCATGGGCAGTGAGCTGCAGCCCTCACCCCAGCCCACTAGATGGTGCCACCACATCCACCTCCCAGTTTTGACAACCAAGACATTGTTGGTTGGGTTTTTTTGGCTTTGGGACAAGGTCTCAGTGTTACCCAGATGGTCATGAAGTTCTAGTCTCAAGCGATCCTCCTGCCTCAGCCTCCTGAGTAGCTGGGATTTCAGGCACATCCCACCAGAATATCTCTACACATGGCCACATGTCCCTGGGGACAGAGCCACCCAGCTGGGCACACCTGAAGGGGACAGACGTCATTCCTGCAGTGGCTCTCCTGGAACCTCTGAGGATGGCTGTGGGAATCAGGAGTCACTCATCCCCGGCTGGGTGCAGGGGCCACACCTGCGACTGCAGCCCTGTATGAGGCCGAGACAGGACCACTGGAGCCCAGGAGTTCAAGACCAAACTGGGCAACACAGCAAGATCCCCATCTCTGCTAAAATTTTAAAAATTTGCCAAGAGTGATGGGGCACCCCGTGCACCTGTGTGGCCAAGGCCAGCACGTGGCCGCCGTGGACAGCCACAAGGCACACAGGGGACTCACAGCAAGTGCGGCATCAGGCGAGCGGCTGGGGCTTCCCAGGGGAAAAGGGACTGTGCCTGAGGGTGCTGGACGGGGAGGGTGAGACCCAAGTTTAGCTTTGGTGACCAGAGTCACATAACTGGAAGAAAAGCAACCTTTATGAGCAAGTCAAATGTGAAGATGGCTTGAAGGAGGTGGAGGCAAGCCGTAAAGGTGCCCGCCAGGCAGGGCCATGTGTGCAGCCAGGGGCTCTGGTGTGGCCACCAGGGGACGTCGGGCTGTAAAGGAGTCTGGGGAGCAGACCCCCAACTCTTTGAGTGTCCTAACCTTAAGACACCTACTAGATGCAAAAGAGAAGCCAGAGTCTGTCGAGAGACATGGGACAGGGCTCAGGGAACCACGGGGCCTATGGACCCAAGTCGGGAGAGGGGCCCTCTCCCACAGGATAGCAAGTGAGCTGAGACAGGTTAGAGGGGCCGTGGAGGGTGGCAGATGGTGTGACACATCCAGGCTGTGGCAAGACCAACGGCAGACAAGCGACTGCTGGTCCAGACCATGTAGAGCCCGCTGTGGCCCCGACTGAGGCTGCTCCAGTGAGGGTCAGAGGAGGCCTGCGCAGGGGCCAGCTGGCCAGAGGGGGCTGGGCTTGTGTGCCTGGTGCCCAGGATATCATGGCCCATGTCGTGTGCTGCTGGGAATGGCCAGTGACACTGGAGAGAAAGGGCCCGACAGCCAGGTCCACACCCAAGCCCAGATTCGGGGATGGGCAAGGCAGGGCAAGCCACTGCTCCAGGGAGCCAGGAGGGGAGACGGGAACACGGGCCATGCGGAACTGAAAGGAGCAAGGAGCAAACAGGCTCCCCATCTGCCTTCGTGTCTTCCCTGGAAGGAGAGGGCGCAGAGGGGATGGAAGGCCAGGGCGGCCACTCTGCCAGGATGGGAAGTGGATGCCCCACGGTGTCTTCGGGTGCCTGGGAGACCCGAACGACAGTGGGGACAGTGGGCTGGCGAGGGTCCCATCCTCCAGCAGGGTCCTTGCCCACACAGCCTGTGGAGACCACCTCCCCATCTCCGATAGGCAGCTGCGCATGCGCCAGGCTCAGCACTACTGCCTCGGATTCCCCCCTCAGGTCTGAGGTTTCCGTATCAGTGCCTCACCCCTGGGACAGCACTCTGGACCTGTCTCACGTGTTAAGCAGGAGGCGGTGCTCCTGCCTGGAGGCCCCGTCGCAGGCCACCGGACTCGGGCTGTGGTCGGCAGCAGGCAGGCAGCCTTCCTCACTAAACTGCACAGCCACGGCCCCTGTCCCCACATCTCTGCCAGCAGCACAGTCCCCCACAATGACCTTGGAGACACAGAAACAAACCCACCCAGTGGCCTCCTGGATCTGGGACCCAGCTCAAGGCCTCAGCTGCCTGCAGCCTCCAAGGAAAAGGGAACTTGGAAATCAGCAGCACAGGAGGGAGGAGATGGGAGCCAGTGAAGTCCCAAAAAACTAGGTGCCAGAGAAAGAGCCACCTCCCAGACAGGCACTGAAATTCCTCCCAAGAGGCGAGAGGTGGCAGGCAGGCTGCAGAGGGGCAGGGGCAGGGCAGGGTGGGGGTGAGGGCCGCCCTGAGTGAGAACTGCGGCCTTGGGATAAACATCGGAGAAGCCGGTGAGAAATGAGCACTAGCCTGCAGAGGCAGAAACCCGGTATCACACCGGTCTCCAAATGGAACAGGCTTCAAAGCCAGATAAGGAAGCCCAGGGCCCCCGGGTTCCACACAGAGGCCAAGGCCAAGCTGAACAGGGCCCTCCCTTCCCTGTCTTCAGCCAAGGGGCTGCGCGCAGACAGGGCAGGGCTCTGGGGCAGAGAACATTCCTTAAACTGCTCTAAAGACAAACTGAGAACACCCTAGAGAAATCCTCCCCAGCTGGCAGAACCGCCCTGAGCAGTCCCAGCCCCCAGAACTCTGACCAGTTCCCAGCAGCCCACTCGGGGTCAGTGTGGTGGATTCAGCAAATGTGACCAGCCAGGCCGTAACTGACACAGAGCCACCCAGGTGTGGGGGCGCATGGGGCCTCCTGACCTCTGTGCTCCTAGTCTCATGCCCACATCCCCAGAACTAGTCAGCAGCCATCGTGTGCCTGAGTGCTCGGGGACTGTGCGTTTGGGTGTCCTTTGCAGCCTGGCACTCCACGCTCTGGCACGCACACCTGTACACACACACCTCTTCCATGGCCCCCAGGTCTACACGGTCACCCCAGTGTTATGGATGCTAGCCTCACCCGGTGGTGTCCACACTCCTTCCTTCTGCACCCACGAGGCCAAAGCATCTCCTTATGGGGCTCACTACTGGAAAGGGACCCACAGGGGTCCACTCAGACCCAAATTCCCACAGGTCCCGGACTGGGGCTGTCACAGGACAACCCAGGAGGCTTACAGTTACAGGGAAGGGTTAAAGCCTCAGTTCCTGGGGTGGGGAGGACGGTGGGATCTGTCGGGGCCAGGCCCTTGCCCTGGCTGGCAAGCTGGCCCTCAGCCCATGCCCGCCTGCCTCCCGCCCCATAGAAGACGTCTTCCCCTGCAAGGACTGTGGCATCTGGTACCGCAGCGAGCGCAACCTGCAGGCACACTTGCTGTACTACTGCGCCAGCCGCCAGGGCGCCGGCTCCCCGGCCACCGGCCGCCTCGGAAGAGAAGCCCAAGGAAGCCTACCCCAACGAGCGCGTCTGTCCCTTCCCCCAGTGCCACAAGAGCTGCCCCAGCGCCAGCTCCCTGGAGATCCACATGCGCAGCCACAGCGGTGAGCCCCCACCCCAAATGCAGGTCCTCGGGGTGTCAGCTTGCAAGCCCCCACCCCAAACACGGGTCCTCGGGATGCCAGCTGCTTCCCCGCCCAGTCCCACAGGCAACGGGGGACACCCACATGCAGGCACACGTGGCGCACACGGTGAAAATGACATGCCTGTGCGGTCTCCGCATGCCCAGACCCCCGCAGGCGCCCAGAGCAGGCGGCCCGCCTGTAGCTATCTGGGTAGTCAGTGGAGGACCTGGCCCAGCGCAGTCCTGAGAGAAAAAGGGTTGACGCTGAGAGGTTTAAAGGGCCCTCAGCACAGGGTCCCAGCACAGATCATAGCCCTAGGCAAAGCCACCTTCCCCATCCCTGGACTCCAAGGCCAAGCTGGCCCGGGCACCACCCTTACAGGCCCTGTGTTCCAGGAGAGCGGCCGTTCGTCTGCCTGATCTGCCTGTCGGCCTTCACCACCAAGGCCAACTGCGAGCGCCACCTCAAGGTGCACACGGACACACTGAGCGGTAGGCATGGCAGGGTAGGGGGCGAGGGAAAGGGGCTGTGGGGCCCACCCTCCGCCCTGGGCCCTGACTACCTTGCCATGGCCCACAGGGGTCTGCCACAGCTGTGGCTTCATCTCCACCACAAGGGACATCCTCTACAGCCACCTGGTCACTAACCACATGGTCTGTCAGCCGGGCTCCAAAGGTGAGATCTACTCTCCAGGGGCCGGACAGGCAGCAACGAAGCTGGCCCCAGGTGAGCAGCCCTGTCCCTTGGGCCCCCTGAGGTGTGTAAAGGGAGCAGGCCTATCGACCAAAACAGGTCGGGGATCCCTTTCGGCCTTGGCTCTAACCACTTACACCCACTCCTCCCCGCCCGGAGTTCGCCCTCCAGCTCTGACCCGCCAGGTCCTGCCCCAGGCCTGAGGTGCCCCTCTGCGGTCTCTCTACAGACAGTCTTGGCAGCCTCCAACAGCACTCGGCCCTGCACGGCCCACTGGCCTCCACGGACCTGGGCCTGGCGCCCACCCCATCACCAGGACTGGACAGGAAGGCCCCGGCCGAGGCCACCAACGGAGAGGCCAGGGCGGCCCCCCATAATGGAGGCAGCAGCGAGCCCCCGGCGGCCCCCAGGAGCATCAAGGTGGAGGCGGCGGAGGAGCCGGAGGCGGCCCGCGCCCCGGGCCCCGGAGAGTCTGGACCCCACGCCCCGTCGCGGACGCCGTCACCGCACAGCCCCGCCCCCCACAAGGCGAAGGCTGCTGAGCTGTCCAGCCCCACGCCGGGCTCCAGCCCGGTGCCCAGCGAGCTGGGCCTGGCGGGGACCCTGTTCCTGCCGCCGTACGTGTTCGGATCTGACTCGGCACCCCCGGCCCCCGCGGCGCCCCCCAGCCTCGGAGATCCTGGCCAAGATGTCTGAGCTGGTGCACAGCCGGCTGCAACAGGGCGCGGGAGCGGGCGGGGCGCAGGCCGGGCTCTTCGCGGGGGCCCCCAAGGGCGCCACGTGCTTCGAGTGCGAGATCACCTTCAGCAACGTCAACAACTACTACGTGCACAAGCGCCTCTACTGCTCGGGCCGCCGCGCGCCCGAGGACGCGCCCGCCGCGCGCAGGCCCAAGGCACCCCTCGGCCCGGCCCGCGCGCCCCCCGGGCCGCCCGCCGAGCCGGACGCGCCGCGCTCGTCGCCGGGCCCCGGAGCGCGCGAAGACGGAGCCGGGGGCGCGGCCACGCCCGAGGACGGCGCCGGCGGCCGGGGCAGCGAGGGCAGCCAGAGCCCGGGCAGCTCCGTGGACGACGCGGAGGACGACCCCAGCCGCACGCTGTGCGAGGCCTGCAACATCCGCTTCAGCCGCCACGAGACCTACACCGTGCACAAACGCTACTACTGCGCCTCGCGCCACGAGCCGGCGCCACGCCGCCCCGCCGCGCCCCCTCCACCCGCGCCCGTGCGCACGCGCAGGCGTCGCAAACTCTACGAGCTGCACGCGGCGGCCGGCGCCCCGCCCCGCCCGCCGCCCGGCCACGCCCCCGCGCCCGAGTCGCCGCGCCCCGGAAGCGGAAGTGGCTCCGCGCCCGCCCCCACGCGTTCCCCAGGCCCCGCGGCCGACGGCCCCATCGACCTGAGCAAGAAGCCGCGGCGTCAGCCCCCCGGAGCCCCGGCGCCCGCGCTGGCCGACTACCACGAGTGCACGGCCTGCCGCGTGAGCTTCCACAGCCTCGAGGCCTACCTGGCGCACAAGAAGTACTCGTGCCCCGCCGCGCCGCCGCCCGGCGCGCTCGGACTGCCCGCCGCCGCCTGCCCCTACTGCCCCGCCAACGGCCCGGTGCGCGGGGACCTGCTGGAGCATTTCCGCCTGGCGCACGGCCTGCTGCTCGGCGCGCCCCTGGCCGGCCCGGGGGTCGAGGCCCGGACGCCGGCCGACCGCGGCCCCTCTCCCGCGCCCGTTCCCGCCGCCTCCCCGCAGCCCGGGCCCCGCGGCCCCCGGGACGGCCTCGGCCCGGAGCCCCAGGAGCCGCCGCCCGGCCCGCCCCCGTCCCCGGCCGCCGCGCCCGAAGCCGTGCCGCCCCCGCCGGCGCCCCCCTCCTACTCGGACAAGGGCGTGCAGACTCCCAGCAAGGGCGCGCCGGCGCCCCTGCCCAACGGCAACCACCGGTACTGCCGCCTCTGCAACATCAAGTTCAGCAGCCTGTCCACCTTCATCGCCCATAAGAAGTATTACTGCTCCTCGCACGCTGCCGAGCACGTGAAGTGAGCGCCCACACTACAGCCGCAGACGCTTTGCACGCCCCCGGGGAGGCAGGGGGACCGCCCCCAGGCCGCAGGGGACTCTCGCTCCCGGGAACCCCACCAAGCACTGGCCTCAGCAGAGGGGCCGCAGGGGGCAGTGCCCGCCTGGACCCTTGGCACTTAATAAACAAGTCGAGTTTGTTGAGCACGGTGGTAGGCCAGCCTAGTTCTCTGAGCCAGCAGGCACATGCCACCGCTGGGGTGCACACAGGCCCCTGCCGGAGTCACACCGCTGGTGGTGGAAGGAGCTGCACAGAGCCTCAGGTCGGAGGCCACATCACACACTGAGCCCCTGCAGGCCCAGCCGCTCTGGGCCCACCCCACCCCTGCCCCCCTACAGAGAACAGGCTCCACACTGCTGACCCTTTCCGCTGCCGACTTGGCCACCAGACACCGAAGGGAAAGGCAGTGTCCTGGCTGGCCAGCCCCCCAACTCTGCATGGCCCTGGGGGGGTCCCGTGTTCCCCATCCAGTCACAGACCACCTGGGTTGGCCGGGGTGGGAGTGCCCTGGGAAGGAGGAAGCCCTGTGGTCGCTAAGGCTGTGGGGAGAACGGACAAGTAGGACAGGAGAGGGAGACCAACGCCGAAGCGTCCCTGCACACGAGGGGGTCCTGATGCTCGCTGGGGGGGGCCTCCCCTCAGAGCCAGGGCTGGGCACAGCTGTGTGGTTGAGTCACGTGGTGGCTGAGCCAGTGCAAGGGCCAGGGCGCCCCACCCTGGCTTCCCTGCCCTGCTGGGAACGCTAGGGGGATTGCTTGGCCCAGCTTTGCTGAACACGGTCGGCCACCTGCTGTTTGCGGCTCTGGGCGCCCTCCAGCCTGCTCTCTCACACTGGATAACAAAGACATGCCTCCATTCCCAGCAGCACTTTGTTGATTTCTGGAGGTGAGCTCACTCTGTGTCCCAGGCTGGAGTGCGATGGTGCACTCACGGTTCACCGCAGCCTCGACCTCGTGGGCTCAAGTGATCCTCCCACCTCAGCCTCCTGAGCAGCTGGGACTACAGGTGTACGCCTCCATGCCCAGCTAATTTTTGTATTTTTTTGTAGAAATGGGGTCTCCATATGTTGCCCATGCTGGGCAATCGTATTTTTTTTTAGAGATAAGGTCTTGTTCTGTTTCCCCGGCTGGAGTAGCGTGGCAGTCATAAGTCACTGAAGCCTGAAACTCCTGGGCTGAAACCATCTTCCTGCCTCCGCCTCCCGAGTAGCTGGGACCACAGGCTTGAGCCACCACACCTAGCCAATGTTTTAAATTTTTTATGTAGAGCTAAGGTCTTGCCGTGTTGTCCAAGATGGTCTCAAATGGCTGACCTCCAGTGCTCCTCCAGCCTCAGCCTCTCAAAGCGTGCGGATGATGGGCGCAAACCTCTGTTCCCGCCCCTTTTCCAACTCCACTGAACTTACTGCCCTTTCCTCAGCCTTGCCCAACAGCCCTGGTGAGTGCAGGTCACAGTGGCAGCGGCCTCTTGCCTGAAAAGTCCGAGGCACCTCCCAGCTGCTGCAGGGCTCGGTCTCCTGCCCGAGGCTCGTGGGCCTGGGTGTGCAAACGCTTCAGTCGCTGATGTCTTTGTCCACTCGCCCTGCCCATCTGACATGTCCACCTGCCCACTAGGGTCTGGCCAGATGGGGCCTGTGGCCAAGGCCACTGAACAGACAGGGCTCCCACCCCCTTCCAGGGCCCCTCCAGGGAAGGCCAGCAGCCTCTTCCTCACAGACACCCCTTTTGTTGAAGGCCAGGCGACAGGGGGACGGGAGGCCAGACTCTCAGCCTGTTGGCATTTGCACTGCTCTGCAGGAAGCTACCTGGAGGGTTCCAGAGGCTCTGCCCCCCAGTGCAGGCAGAGCAAGTGAGATGTTCTAAGAAACAAAGCTGGGTGGGGGTTGTCCCTGTGTGGACATTTAAAAGTAAATGTTTTAAGGCGCCTAGAAACACTGAGAATACCGTCCCTGGTGGGCAACAAGGGCTCAAAGGAGAAAAACAACTCCCATGTCTTCACCCTACCCCAGGCCCAACCAGCGAGGCCCGGGAATGGAAGCCGCAGAGGAGAGGCTGGAAGGCAGGGACCAGCAGTGCCCCACACACCCACCGTGTGCCCACACGCCCTGCACCCACACACCCACCGTGTACCCACACGCCCTCCATGTGCCCACACGCCCTGCACCCACACACCCACCGTGCACCCACACGCCCACCGTGCACCCACACACCATGCGCCCACACATGCCTTAGTGTCCATGCCTGCACCACAGCAATGGGAGGTCCTGGGCCCTGCAGCCCCTCCTGAGCGTTCACTCAGAGGCAGCAAGGACCCTGTGACCAGGACCCAGACCTGAAGTCACCCCAGAGGGCCCACCATGGACTGGAAGCTTTAGGACAGCACTGTGAGCCTCATGAAGGGCCCTGCACCTCGTTCTGGCTTTCATAACCCCCCACCACCCCACCCTGCAGGGCTGGGCGCCGCTGCCCTCACCCGTCCTGGGTCATGTGCGTGCAGCCAGAGCCTGTGCCCACTGCACCCAGGACTCGCCTCTGGTGGGCATCTTCTGTGCGGACCCTGGGCCTCCCACGCCTGGCCAACGCCATCAGTCACCCCCACTCCCCCAAGTCTCACCCTGCCAGACTCCCGCCGGGGCCTCCACCTGCAACTCCCTTGCAGCCACACTCTGGGTGTGGCCTAGGCACTCTCCCACCTCTTCCCAGGAAGCTGCCGGCCCTGCTGGCAAACACTGCCCCTTCCCCGCAGCTGGTTCTCTGCTGAGCCAGGTTCAAGTGTCTGAGTCTACCCATCTCGCCTTGAAGTTCTCCCTCCACACTCCAGGGTGGGCTCATGGTCTGTTCGCTAAATCTCTAGTTTTGCCACACCTCTTCTGAGCCCCAGGCCTGCAACCCTGGAGCCCCAGTCTCCCTCCAGGGCCTTGTTGTACCATGAGTGACCACACCTCACAAACACATCTGTGACTTCTCCCCACACCTGCTCAGGCGTCCCCCAGCCCACCTGTCTCCCCTCACCTGCGCAGGTGGCCCCCCAGCCCACCTGTCTCCCCTCACCTGCGCAGGCGACCCCCTGGCTCAGTGTCTCCTCCCCTCACCTGCGCAGGTGTCCTCTCGCCCTCTGCCCCTCAAGCTAGTGATGACAGCACCAGCCTTGCCCACTCACCCTTCACTCTCAAAGCAATGCTTGATTTAGCCAGAACCCACGGCTTCCCAAACCCATCCACCATCGCAGACTCCCAGGGCTAGGACTTCACCCTTGGGTCTCTTTAAATGGCCACTTCCAAATCTCAAGGGTCCCGCTCCTCACAAAGCTGCCACTGCCTCTCTCTACCCAACGAACCCTGCTCCAAGCCCCAGCCCTACCCCAGCTGCCTGTGCTTAGCTTCTGAAACCCTTTCTGTTACTGGCCCCATCCTTCAGAGGTCAGAAGTCACCCTCCCCTGCCTCAGCACAGAGAGGGGCCCCTCCCAACAGCTTCCCCCAGCCCTGCTAAGCCCACCAACCCCTAGACCCCAAGCTCCAGCTGGCCACTCCAGGCACTGCCTCCTGACGGCCTCTCCTCCTCCAAGCTTATCCGGCTCTCAGCTTAGGTGCCCCTCAGACCTGTCCTCGGCTCACTCCCACATAGGGACAGTCACTGCATCTGTCCCCAGCTCACGTCCCTCATAGAAACGGTCACTCTGAACCTCTGTCCTCTTGCCCGTCACCTACTGGCCTGCCTCCCGTGACAAAGCAGCCAGGCCCTCGCCACACCCAGCAGTCAGTCCCCAAATCACAGGCTCCAAGGCCAGCCCTGATCTGGCCGCCCCCCGCTGTCCCTCTCACCACCCTCGTCTCCCACCTGCTTTCCTGCTGTGCTCTGGCCCCACGCCATACAGCCAGCTCTGTCTCCCTGAGTCAGTGCTGACAGGTGATGGCATCATGGCACCTGGTGCACGGCCACCGTCACAGCCCACTCTCCAGCCACGCTGTCCTCTCACAGCACATGGTACCTGCTGCACGGCCACCATCACAGCCCACTCTCCAACCTCACTGTCCACTCATGATACATGCACGCAGCCACCATCACAGCCCACTCTCCAGCCACGCTGTCCACTCACGCTACCTGACACATAGCCACTGTCATGGCCCACCCTCTAGCAACACTGTCCATAGTACATGCGCACAGCCACCGTCACAGCCCACTCTCCAGCCACGCTGTCCACTGAGTCCCGTGTGTGAGCTGAGATTCTCAGACCCCTGCACTCCAAGCTTCTCTCTCCCCACTCCCCCTAGCTTTGCCTGTGAAACTCCATCTCCCTTCAAAACTGGCCTAAAAGGTCCCCCTCAGGGCCACCCAGCTGGGCTGCATCCGTCCCCAAGCCCTGCACAGGATCGGCCTCCCGCCTCCACCCTCCTCCTTCCGGGAGGGCACCTGCTCCCTTTTACCTGAGCTATGTACAGCTCAAAGCCTTGTGCAGGCTGGCAACCCCTCTGCAGGGTCAGCCCAGCCTGCCTGGAGTGCCTCACGCCACGAGGGACACAACGTCCATGAGATGAATACAGGGCAGCCTCGCCCTCCTGAGGCCCCTCCCTCTGCCAGGCGCAGGGTCCGGCCTCTCAGCCACACCATGGGCTGGGTGCCCTGACTGTGCACGAGGCCACCAAAGTTCCTTCAGGACACGCCTCCTGCCTGGTCACCTGGTAGGCACAGCTGGGCCAGGGCATCCCTCTTGCCGGCTTCCAGCACAGGGTTCTTGACCACCAGCCATACTGCTGGGCTCCAGCTCCCAGCCAGGCTGTGGCTTAGAGAAAGCTCCGGCCCAGCAGAAGCCCACCCAGCCTGCCTGAGGAAGGGCAGGTGTGGAGAGGGCCCGATTGCGGCCTGTCACCCACATCAGGACCTCAACATGCAGAGCCGGACATTCTCTGTGGCCAGGGGGGCTGCATGAGCTGGCAACCATGGGATGGGTCTGCTCTGCAAACCCACCCCCATCTGCTGCTCCCCGGCCCAGCCTTCGGGAGAGCCTGGCTTCGGAGTCTCAGGCAGAGACGCAGGACGCCAGGGGGCAGCAGCGCCACCGTGCTCCGGCCTGCCCCGGAGAGGGGCAGGGAGGAAGGGAGGGAGGAAGGGCAGGAGGAGGCACTCCCACCCCCTCAACACCCAACAC